CTACGTATATGTCTCAGACCTCTAGATTCCTCTCTAGCCTTGGCCTTTCCCCCGAACTCTAGGCTCATATCCAGTTGTCATTCCTGCCTAACATGACCCAAAGGACTATTGATCCTCCCTCCTGCGTCAGACCTGCCCTCATGGTCTTCCCTAAGGGACATGGCAATGTCATTTAGTTAGTTGCTGCTGCCAAAAACCGAGGAGACACCCTTGATTCCTCACTTTCTCTAGCTCCCTATGGCCAGTCATTCCATCAGCAGTTCCTGTCGGCTCTGTCTTCCAAAGATGTCCTGAAGGCTCCTCTTTCGAGCGCCCTAGACCAAGCCACCTCCATCTCCTGCCCAGGCCCGTGAATTAACTTTCTAACTTACCCCTTGGCTTCCGTTACAGTTCATTTGCCACAGACACCACAGCCAAATGGAACCTTTGGAAATGTAAATTAGTTCTATCTCTCTTGAGCTTTAAACGCCAAAGGCTTCCCCCTCCCACTTACAGTAAAATCCCACTCCAAAGCCGGACAGGCCGGCCCCTGCCTCTCTCTCTCCCTTCCAGCATTCCAGTCATACTTTCTGTTTTCGAACATGCCAAGTTCATTTCCACCTTAGGGCCTTTTGGGGATCATTTCCTTTGTCTGAAACCCGTTCTGTCATATCTTTGCACGACTGAGTTCAGGTCTCAGCCTAAGTGTGCCCTCTGAGAAGTCCTCCCTCACCACCCGATCTAAAAGAGCCTGCTTTGTTTTTAGTACAGCATCTGTCACTACCTGATAGCCTCTTGTTGGCTTGCTATCCGTCTCCCCCACCAGCTGGCATGTTAGCTCCTTGAGAGACGAGGATCTCTTCTGTTTGCTCACCAACATATCCCCAGTGACCGGTCGTAGCACATAGGAGACACTCAGTAAATGCTAAGTGAGTGAGGGAGTGTGTGAGTGAATGAATGGATGAAGGAACTTTGTCTTTTTCTCAACCACTTGCCTTCCTTCCAGGTCATCTTACTATATATGGTCTTTGGCTTTCAGATTGGTCAAGCCCAGCATGCCAGCAGCTCTCAGGAATAACACAGACCTGTGCCACCAAATCCCTGGGAATGGTAGGGAAAACAGGAGGGCTATCTGGAGGAGGGCGGGACTCTGAAGGTTATCGGGCCGCCAGCCTGGGGAGCACTCAGAGTTCAGTCTGGCCCTTCTGTCTGGACTCTGCAGGGCTGCCTGGTCCGGGGCTTCCCTCTCTGTCTTTCTGAGGATGGTAGCAGCTTGTATGTGGATGCCCCACCCCCTCTTAGTCTCTTATTTCCCCTCTGGGGGGATAGTTTTTCTTTTTCCCTTGTGAAGGTGTCGTTGGCCGCAGGGAGAACAGATTCGCAGTGAGGCTTTGCCTACCCCATGACCCTGAGTATGGAATAACACTTCTCTTTTTTAGGATAAGGTGGCTTACTTCTCCTACCCATTCACATTTGAGGCCTCCTTCCTCCACGAAGACGAATCTGCTGGTGAGTAGCTCAGCAGGTCCTGGGCCCGGGCTCTCCTCTGGTGGCGCCCTCTCTTGGGGAAGGCCTCCTGTGACCTGGCTGCTTCTCTCACTTCTCCCAGATGCTGTCCCGGAGTGGCCTGTGCTCTACTGTGAGGTCCTCTCGCTGGACTCCTGGCAGAGGTACCGTGTGGAAGGCTACGGCGCTGTGGTGCTGCCCACCGCCCCAGGTGACGTCCCGTCCCTGCCCTCCATGTGGCCCCCGTGCCCTAGCTCCCTCTAGGAATGAGACTAACGCTTCTAAAGCATTCGGGATCATTAGGAATTAGGAGCACTTAACTCGCCAGGTCCCTTGCTCCATGAGAGACAGCTGAGTGAGGTTGCAGCTGACTCGGAAGCCGAGCAGCCTGGGCGTCTACTCCTACTCCGAGCTCCCCTGTTTCGACTTGCGGCCTTGAGGGAGAAGCTCAGGCGGGGTGGGCTCTTGGCATCGTGGATTGAATGGATCAGCATTTGTTTTGAAATAAGAGCTGCCGTCTCCTGTTGGGTGCCGGGCATTGTGCTAAGTGCTTCTCATTTGATTCCACCAGCCACTCCGAGACGTAGGCGTTACTGTTGCCATTTTGCTAGTGAGGGGAATGGGGCTCAGAGGGGTTAAGAAACTTGTCCTGGGTACACGGGTCATAACTGGCAGAGCTGAGATGTGAATTTCTAGCTGACTGATTTCCAAACAGGGGCCCTAGACCTCCAGGATCCCCTCCGCAGAGGTCAGGTCGTCCCCAGACAAGGTGTTTCAGTAGTGGCTAGGCCTGTGTCATTGCTGGGAGTTAGTGAGAGACCACATGCCCTTTCTGGCTGAGGCCCCACTCTCCTCTTTCGTCACAGGCTCGCACACCCTGACAGTCCCCACGTGGAGGCCCATGGAGCTTGGCACGGAGGCTGAGCTGAGGAGGTTTTTCATTGGCGGCTCTCTGGAACTGGAGGACCTCTCCTATGTGCGGATACCAGGAACCTTCAAGGTGCCTTTTGTCTCTGGGCAGACTTCATGCTGGGAGCTTAGGTTCCTGTCTCTTCTGGAGAAGGTGGGGTCAGGGTTATGGCCCCTTAGTTGCTTCATTATTACTTAGTCCCTTCCTTTCTGTGGCTTCAGCTGGAGGTCATGGCCACATCTCGAGCCAGGTACAAACATCTACGCTGCTATCCTAGGAGATCTCGGGAAATGAGCATACTTAGAGATTGCCCTGGTCCCGTCAGAGTTACCGGCCCCTCCTTCCAGCCTATCACCGAGGCTTTAGTCATCAAAGGCGGGGAGGATTGGCAGGCCACTTGTCAGACTGCTTATTCTCAACTGGGTTGGGGCATCCCCTGATTTACAGTTGGGAGCCCCACATTAGCCTTGAGGTGATGGAGTCTGGGTGCTGGAATGAGATTTCCCCCAGCAGATCTGTTCTCCGAGAATGGGAGTAAGAATGGGGGTGAGGTCCGCATGGTGCCTGGGGTCTAGAACCCACAGAAGCCTGACGCGGTCTTAACTGCACGCCCCAGGGGGAGCGTCTGAGCCGCTTTGGGTTCCGCACCGAGACCACGGGCTGCATCACCTTCCGCTTGCACTGTCTGCAGCAGTCCAGGTGAGTGACCCCGGCCCTCGGCGTCGGGAGCCTTACCCCTGAGGGCTGAACAGCAGCTGTGGCCATGTGCTGGGCTTCTGCGCAGGGCCTTCATGGAGTCAAGTTCCCTCCGGAAAAGGATGCAGAGCGTGCTGGACCGTCTGGAAGGGTTCAGCCAGCAGAGTTCCGTTCACAATGTGCTGGGTAGGTTTCCCTCCCCCGGCCGCCCCTTATCAGCATGAGCCCCACTCCTCCCCACACCACAGTGGCTGACCACTGCATTTGCTCCCCTTGCAGACGCCTTCCGTCGTGCCCGGCGCCGCATGCAGGAGGCCCGAGAAAGCCTTCCCCAGGACCTGGTGAGCCCCTCCGGGACCATGGTTTCCTAGCTCACGGCGGCCCTGGCCCCGCCCCCCACCCCACGCCGTGCAAGAGGACAAGATGGGTGATGTGTGAGGCTGGTGCTGTCCGCCTCTTCATCTTTCTCTCCAGTGACCCCACTGGCCTGCCGAGAACCAGAAGAGCTGAGAAAGTCCGGGCCAGCCCCTCTGCCTGGTCTTCGGCAGGGCCTCCCCCCTCTGGGTAGCAGTACAGCTGGACACCCTGCGGTCCCCCTCTGCATGTTTCCGTTACTGCGAGTGGCTCTCATGACAGGGCAGGCTTGTAGGGTTAGCCCAGTGTGGGGTGACCCCACCGTTAGTTCTGTCCTCAACACGGCCTCTTTTCTGGCTTGTCTCACTGTCTTGAGAGCAGAGAGCTGCAGGTGCCTCCTGCTTCACAGCCTTCGCTACAAATGGAGGCTTAAGAAAGGAAGAGGAGAGAGATCTTGAATGCCTGGCCTGGGAGCCTCAGCCTCCTCTTTCCAGGGTAGCCTCGTCCTGCCGCTTGGGGCTTGTTGTGTTTGAGATATGAGTAAATGAAGGCTGAAGGCAGTGCCCAGTCCTTTCTGCTAGCCAGGTAGTGTCTTTTATTGTATTTTTGGTACATAAAAACTTTTTGTCCTGCCTGACGTGTCAGCTGTTTTTCTGCTCAGGTTGCTGGCATGGCCAGGGTATTCTCCCGAACCTTCCACTTTTCTGCCCTTTCCCACCCCAGAGTGTCTGGAGGCAGCCTGCAAGAGAGGCGTAGGGGTTATTGCCAGTGTGGTCCTGGCAGTGCTCCTCTAAACGTTTGGAGCAAAGTTTGGGACTGAGGTTATGCCCTCCCCAGCCTGACGCAGAAACCAGCTCTTGCCCTCAGTGGACTTTTATTGGTACAAGCAGAGCTCACTGCCTGGTCTGCAGGCTCCAGCAGAGGATGGTGGGGCGGCTGGGGCTGGGTGTGGCATAGGCTGCAGTCATGCGTGGGGGATGGGGACAGGCTGGGAAATAGAAAAAAAGAGGCCGGAGACCATGCAGATGACTCTTCTTGCCTGGGCCTCAAGACCTCCTTGCACCCGGAGCCGATGTCTGACCTAAGACCTAGGAGGCTCCCAAGGTGGGAGGGTTCACTGCTGCCAGGAACCCCGGCTGGCACTCCCAGCCACAGAACCAGCAATGAGCCAGAGCCAGCAAAAGCGTCAGCAGATGTGGTTGCTCCAGGGGAGGGGGCAGCCTCGTGGTCTTCCCCAGGTTCTCTTGTGTCTGAGGCCAGAGGCTTGGAATGGGCTCCTGTGGAAGCAGCACATGTGGGCAAGTGAGGAACTTTCTGGGTGTCCAGGCACGGAGCTGTGTTAGGGTGCTGATGGTGAAACTGAGGCTTCCTAATTGCCCCCCAAAGTCCTAGGCCTTGGATCAGCTGTCCGTCCAGACGCTAGCAGACCCGGAGGCCAGTAGGGAGGACTACCCTGCTTCTTGTGACAGGTCTGGTAGTCTCTGCTTAGAGGTCTAAAAGGACTCAGCCATCTGGTCTGGGAAGGATGTGGGAGCAGGGCCTCCCCTTACCTGTAGAGGCCTCATCTGCCTCGCCAGGCTGACAGGCTCAGCCTGGGGATGCGGGTGCAGCTCACGAAGTCCTGCGGGTACGTGTTGGCCCTGAAGATGTCCCTCGAAACGGTGGTAATGCCGGTATTGTCACACACAATCCGAGACAAGGAAATGTGGCGCAGGGCCTCGCGCTGCCTCTTGGTGAAGACACCCCGCTTTTCCCACCAGAACCTACCGAGACAAGCCGAGAGATGGGGGGGAAGGTGAGGGAGGAATGAACACAACGAGACCCTGTGGTACGCCAGGTTCTTCACGGTATTTCATTCCGTTCTCCAGAGTTCCTGCAAAATAGGTATTATTCCCCTTCATAAATGAAGAAACAGGTTCAGCAGTCAAGGCAATTGCTCAGTATTAAGTGCACAGTAATTTAAGTGGCCAGGGCCACCGAGTGAACCTCGGTAAATGCCAAATCCAAATGAGGAGTCAGGTCTTAAACCATAAGCTTTATTGGAAGGAAACCAGATTTAGCCCTTTCTGCCCATGTTTCCTGGGACCCACTAGCAACAGCTCAGGCAGCATCAGACTTGCCCGGCCCACGGTCTCTCTCACTCTGACAAAGCTCTCCACAGAAGAGCCTCCTGGTCTCAGACCCTGTGAACTTGGAAGAAACGAATCAAAAAGGGCAGTTTCCCCCTTGCTGAGTCTTGACATGCCAGCGCTTTTCTGCCCTGCCTCTGGGGCTGGTCTCTTTAGGGGAAGGTCCCTTACCTGTCACCATTTCGGGCTCTCCTGAACTGGTTTTCAAAAAGACAAGCCAGAAGAGGCCCCACTCGGGCCCCTGGCAAAAGAGGCTCTGCGATGGCCCCAATCCAGATGTCAATGTTGTTAGGTGTACCGTACAGATTCAGGAACTTCCTCGCCAAACCCTGGTTTCGCAGCACCTGGCTGAGCTGTGCCAGATTCTGGGGCTGGGAGAGCCCACAGAAGCGCCTCCAGGCATTGTACCCTGTAGGGAAAGGGGGCGGAGGCGGTTCAGTCTTACCTTGCTGACTTCCCCTTAGCTTCTGCTGCTCCACAGTTTCTCCCGAGAGAGCTCTGTGGTCAGGAAATGTCGGGCAGAACAAGATCCCTGCTGACAGAAGAGGCCGAACCTTCCAAGGATCAAACCACTGCCCTTTAGTTTTCAAAGTGAGTAGACAACCATGCTTTGCGTGCATCAAACTGAGGAGTGTGTCCTAGTGTAACACCTAATACCACAAGGATATTATTATTGGGCTCAAGTGCATCAATTATGTACAAATAAGATGGACCCAGAACATAAAAGACTCTTACGCGGGTTTAGAGAAGGAAGGAATGAACAAATACATAGGTGAACAAACCAACAAATGAAGAGCATGGTTAAAGTTTACTCAGAAAAGGACCACATGCTGTATGATTCCATTTACATGAAAGGTCCAGAATAGGCAACTATGTAGAGACAGAAAGATCAGTGATTGTCAAGGGCACAAGGAGTGACTGTTATTGTAAGGTTTCTTTCGTGAGTGCTAAAAATGTTCTGACATTAGCAATGGTGATCAGTGGGCCAAAGACCTTAACAGACCGAAAAAAAAAAAAAAAGAGATCAATGCACAACTCTAAATATACTAGTCATTGAATCATATACTTCATATGGGTGAATTTTATGATAGACAAATTATATCCCAATAAAGCCATTTGAAAAATTTTTTCCACCTACAATTTCTCTGCTATTAGGATCCCACACCAGGACCAAGCCAGATGATGGGGCAGGGACCATCAAGGTAGGAGATGGATTTGCCCTAACCTTGAAGAACCACCTGCCCCATATTGTCCATTGAACTACACCTCACCAACACCATCTTCCAGCTGAGCAAAGGAAAACGATACAGTGCTTTACCTCACTAAGCCCTGGTGTGTGATAATCTCTTAGGATCCTCACAACACCTCTGCAAGGCACTTTGTAATCTCCATTATATCAAATGGATATTTGCTGAGCTTGAGCAGCTGTGACTTTCTTAAGGTCACTCCACCAGTAAGTGGAGTTCAAACAAGCTTTTCCAATCCCAAATTTGGTGTTGGACTTGGGAAGGGATTGGAGGAGACTGTCAGAGCTAGTATTCGGACAATATTTCTGTGACAGCTTAGAGGGAAAGGTATGGGGGGTGGGGGGGTTGGCACAGAAGCTCACGGTGTGGCACCTGGGTGGCTGGCAATCTCAGTTGTCCAGCAGGGGGCGCCCGCGGCTCTTTAGTGGTCGGGAGCCCCCAAGCGTGAGGAGGAAAGAAACAGGTTTTTGAGCACCCGCTGGGTTCCTGCCAGGTGCTGTGGTAGGTGCGGTGGAGATTTACCCCACCCCGTTATACACAGCCACGGGTGAGCTGAGGCAGACGGGGCTTCAGGCTGTAGACAGGAACGTAGGGGAGAGGGAGAGGGGACAAGGTGGTGACCATAGCCTTCCCCTAACATTATAGTTTGCACAGGGGGAAGAAAGGAGAAATTCTGAACTTGATTCAAATTTTGCTACTTCCTAGTTATGTGGCCTTGAGAGAATGACCAGATGTCTCTGAGCTAATTTCCTCATCCATAAAAACGGCTGTAATAGTTGCTTCTCAAGGTCATTGGCAGAATGAAATGATTAATAGCCATGAAAATTCCTGGCAAAGTGCCTAAGTTTTCTTCTTTCCTAGGATACATTTTTCTTCTTTCCTAGGATTTTTGTCCTCAGGAAACAGCTGAGGCCGTCTTCAGTTTACTCCACCTGTTCCTACCTCTTGAGCTCTCTACCTTTCTGCACGTAGAGCCAGGAGCCAATTCCTATGTCCCTGGAACTAGAGTCTTCCTCCTTGGAACTCACCAGGGTAGCGGGGAATGGAGCATTTCTTCTCTGCCCTTTGAAACTACTGTTTTCTCCACCTGGAAAGAGCTAATCTGCTTTGTCCACAAGCAGATCGTGTCCAGGTCCTGGCCGTGCTGTGAACCTACAGCTAGAGGCCCTACGGTGGCAGGTGAAGATAGGGCAGGATGGCAAAGGGTGGTCCCAGGGATGCTTTCCTGCATCAAGCTCAGCCTCGCATGCCTCTGAACCTCAGCACACGGGGTAGAGAGTTCCAGCCAGAAAGGATGCACCAAGGGTCTTCTCTGAAACCTGCCCCCCACCCCCAGTAGCATCAGCCCCAGCCAAGCAAAGCCCCCTCACCTGGGAGGCCGTGGTCCCGGCTGCGCTGCATGTTGAGAGCCGCCAGGTCCAGCCCGATCCTTCTCACTTGCTGAAAGAGCCGGTCCCGCAGCTCGTCCACTAACATGGAATCCTGACGGTTCAGCTTGGCAGGGGTAGCCATGAGGCCTCGGATGATGGGGTCGATGCCACCTGGTGGTGGGGAATGTGAGCAGCACAGATTGGATCGGCCTCTGGGGAGCCCCTGGGTCATCACATGATGCCAAGCTAGCTCAGAGCTGGACAAGCCAGTTGCTTATGTTCTGTAATGCTGCCTGGGTAGACTTGAAGCGAGCTGGGGCTGGCAGGGAAAGAAGTCACTCCCACTCCTTAAAGAAGGAGCGGAAGGCGACCTCCTCCCGGGCCCACAAGTCCCCAGTCTGACATGCATCTCCTTCCCTTTGTGAATCCTCTCATCCCTAAGGGCACGGGAGGCCCAGGCCTGAGGGTCTTGGTGCACCTGCCTGGTACTGCCCTGGGGAGATGATTAGCAGTGGCCTGAGCAGCAGCCCGGCCTCCTGGCACTAAGCCTGGCCCCACCCCCACTCCCATCTGCTTTTAAAACCTGGTCACCTTCATGCACGATTCGCCAGGTGGCAAAGAAGCTAGTGCTAAGCGGGACGCGCGAGTTGGGTGCTGAAGCCTGGTACTGGCTGTCCAAGCGGAACATGAAGGGCTGGAGCATGGTGTGGCCAAAGCGGAAGGCCAGGGTGAAGACATTGGCCACACGAGGGTCCACATTGGAGCAATACCCCCCGTAGGGCCCTAGGGTTCTCCTGGCCCGGGCCTTGCCCAGAACCAGGGGCAGAAAGTCTCGGTAGGTGATGATCTACAAGAGAAGATAGGAGGAACATTACCTTAGCAGCTGCCCACCCCATTCCCTTGCCTTTGGACAAAACTTTTGCTTTCTGAAGTGCTGCTCAGACATACCAATTCTTTATTACCATCATGCCCAATGTGGAAATATACATTTCCCGTTGGCTGATGAAGACCGGGGTGACAAGGACAGTGTCACACAGTGAGTTAGTGGCAGAGTTTGGGGTAGAGGTCAGATCTCAGGTACACTCCCCATCACCCAGCCTTAGCTGATTTGAGGCATAGCCTCAAAGGATGTATTAAGGAAAGTGGGAGCCACTCTCTCAAATGGTGTCTCATGCCAGATTGTCTTCTAGGGGATGCTGGGGCCCCGGGCTCCCTACCTGGACCATGGCGCCCACGATCTTCCGGGCCTCCTGGTATAGCTTTTCTCCGGTCCACCGGGGATTCAGACGTTTCAGCTCCGCAGCCAGCCGGTTGTGTTCCCGCATAAAGAGGGTATGCATAGCCGCCAGTTTGGGAGTTTCCGATGATCGGGAGTCACCTTGAAAACCCCAAGTTCAGAGTCACCACAGCTCTTCCCAGAGAAATGTCTTTCTGCTAAGGCAGACAGAGAGCTCTGGGGACTAGAAAGAGGTGGTAGCACTTTGTGACTCGGGCCAAGCCCCGGGCCCTCGCTGGACCTCCATCCCCTCAGCTGTGCTATAAGGCTTCTCACTGACTGCCACCATCCGCCCCCGCATAACGGGTCAGGACAGGGGAGACAGTGGGGTCTTAGATCCCAAAGTTACTGAAATAGGTTCAGGCAAGGTGGGGAAGCACAGAGCAGCTGCTGGTCTTGGGCATGATTCTATTCTACAAGTGACCAGGTCCACAGCTGGTGGAGGGACCCGGATGACTCTAGGAAACCTTGACTTTGGGACTGCGAGCCCACCTGTCCCATGAACTGCATCCATCGGTACATTGTCCACCAAGAGCTAGACCTTTCCCCAGCTGTGGACTTGGGATCAGGCTGCTCTCCCCAGGGAGCCCAGGGGAAAGAGAAAGAGAGAGGGTTGGGCAGAGCCCATTCCTGTAGCCAGAGCTTCTCCTGGAGGCCTGGAAGGAAAGCAAATTCCTGAAGGTGGGCCTTACACGAAGTCACTTGCTGGCTTTGAACGAAACCCTTTTGTATCAGGTCTTATTTAACCTACTCTTCAGTCGACTGCTGGGGGCTGACCTGCCAGGAAGCAGGGGATGCGCGCTGTGCGGTTGGTGAGGAGGCAGGGGTCGTCACGCAGGTTGTCAAAGGGCAGCAGGGCCCGGCCGTTGTCGCTGAAGCGGGTGTTGACAGCCAGCATCCCCAGGAGAGTGGTCTGGTTGCGGAGCCGCAGGGAGAGGGAGACCTCGCTGCCATACACCATGCTGGCGTCCACAAAGGAGGTGAGCGCGTTGAGCTGGTTTCGGATTTTATTCCTGTTTTGGGGGCATGCGGGTGCCGAGCGGAAGAAGGGGATGCAGTCACGCTGGTTCCTGATGCGGGGGTCATTGGGCGGGATCTGAGGTGGAAGAGGAGCCAGTGACCCGGGGGTGCCCTCAAGAGCAAGCTCACTCCTCTGGACCATTCCTCACCTGCTTCAAAACCTTGTTTGAGACTCCCCTCCTCTAGGAAGCCCTCCTCAGCTCACCCAGACTCATGCTGCTCACCAGGTCAATCTGAGCATCCTTAGCACTTTATATCATAGAGTCATGGAAGGCTCCTCATTTTACAGCTGGGGAAACTGAGGCTCAGAGACGGGAAGTGACAGCTCGTTAGCAGGAGAGGTAGGATTAAGACCTAGTTCTCCTGACATTGGGGTCTGTGCTCCTCTCATTCCATTTAATTCTACAGACATCTCCTAAGCACCCTTCTATGCCGGGTGCTTTGGAGACCAACAAAGGTCAGCAAACCCCAGCACAGGTTGCAGGAAGCTGGCATTCAGTGAAAACAGGTGCACACATAGAGAATATAACTCTAAACTGAGGCACTCTTTGCTGTGCTTGATCTAAAAGTCAAAAGCAAAAGGTGTGCTAGGAAAATGTGGGAAGATTCCCCCGGGGAGGTGCCCTTGAACTGGAGCTGGAGGAATGGGTAAGGTTGCCCCACGAATGTCGCCCTACCTGTTAGGGGTGAATGAATGTGGGAGTGTATGCACATGTGTTGCCTGCCCCATATCCCCAGAAAGGCTCTGCTCCCTGGAGTCTGTCTTTCCTTCCCTAGTGTTCCACGTGCTCCTTGCCTCTCAGCCCGAAGGATAGTGCCGTACTCACAACACCATCCCAGGAATTGGTGAGAGCTGCAGGGCTCTTGGACCTCTTCAGGAAGGAGAGAAGGGCAAGAGCTAAGAGTCTCTAAAGGCTCCCAAAAGCAGCAGCCCAGAGGCTTCCCCTGTCGGGATCAGACGCATGGGTCAAGGCTAGTCTCCACTGCTTCCTCCTCTGTGAAGCCTGCACTAAACTGCGGGCAGACTGCCCCGCCCCTGCCCCCACCCCGCAAACGCACAGAACCGGGGGTCTGTGCAGGGCCAGCCTCCTGGCCTTCGTCTGATACTCCAGCACCACAGACAGCTCCTTGAGGAGGCCTCTTTAGTCTTACGGACCCGCCCTGCAGCTCTTGGCCTGGGACCCTGGGGGCCGGTCGGGGTACCTTGATAGGGAAGCAGGGGGGCAGCTGATCGCAGGTCTTCTCGCAGTCCACGCCCGCAGTGAAGGCCACTCTGGCTGGGGACTCAGGGGAGAAGTCCAAGTCGTGGTCAATGAACTGGCCCCACTGCATGAACATAAGGGCCCTGCCCCGGTCGGAGGTCAGCCTCTCTCTGGGGAAGCGCACAATCTGGTTGGAGACAGCTCGGACCTGGTGGGGAGAGAGGTCAGCGTGGGGCATCCCGGGCCAACTCAGCAGATTGCCCCTGCTGGTGTGAACACGGTCTCTCCCCGTCTCCTGCCCTCCCCTCCTCAGCCCTACTTTGTTTCACCCCCTGTGTGGCTGTCATGCCTACAAGGATGGCCTCTGGTGTGGCTCCTGAGGATTTCAGGAGTAGAGAAAGGGAGATGCCTGGTTGGCTGGCTGAGACCCCACCAGCTCTTCCAGAAAGATAAATACATGGAATCGATAGATCAGTTTATAGACTAATGGGTACCTAGATGACAGAAGTGATTGAGAGATGCATGGACCAGTTGGTAGGTGATGGATAATAAATCTAGAGAGAACTGGATAGATAGATGGAAGAAGATTAATGAATAGATGTTGATAGATGAGTAGGTGATTGTCATATTGACATATGAATAGAAAATTGATAAATATGAAATCATTTAGATCAATAGACATAGAATAAGACATACAGATCTTTATATTTAGCTAGATACTTTGATACTAATTCTTGGAGAAAAAACAACACTATAATGGCTTGCATTACTCGATCGCATCCTACGGAGATGTTTATACTAAGGACCTTAGAATTCATACACCAGCAATACGAGGTGGGTTTTACTGCCGTTTTACAGATGAGGAAACTGAGACCCGGCTGTATGACTTGCTTAGAGGCACCTGGCTGGCCAGTGGCTGAGCCTGGCTTCCAGCTGGCTCGGGGCTGTGCTCTTACTGTTTAGAGGTGGTGGAGCAGCCTCCAGACCCTCAGCCCCTACTCACGAGAGGGAGGAGGAAACCATTGCGCCTCCTGTTGGGCGTCCAGCCGTAGGGGAGGGACAGCCTGTCCTCATACTCAGCCGGCAGCCAGCGGGCTAGGGCCTGGTTGGAGGCCCCCAGCAAGGGTCTTCTCCTGCAGCAGAGAGTTGGCTCCAGTCAGCAGGAGTTCTGAGCCTAGAGGATGCTCCATGGGGGGTGACGGGGTGGTGGAGGGAAGGGGGGCACCCTGGGTCAGGTGCGGCCCCCGGCACCCACTTGTTGTTACATCTCCCAGTGATGGTCCGGTACTTGTTGCTGCACTTCTCCTCCTGGTCCTGGAGAGCACAGCCACTGGCCTGGGACAGCAGCCGAAGCTGGGGCTCTGTCAGCACATCTGGGGGTGGGACGGGGGGGCAGGGTCCTGGCTCCTCCTGAGCTGGTCTGTTCCATACCTCCCATCCCTCGACCCTCTTCCCTCCCAACAGCCCGGGCTGTGTACCCTGCCTCCCCAGGCCACAGCAGGCCCTGGGGCTCAGTGTGGAGCACAGTACCAGTGACATTGAAGGAACTGGATCCCTGGAGCTGTAACCTCCCCTCCAGCAGCTCCAAGGCCACATGCATATAATCGGCAGCCCGGACCACTGTCCGGGTGGCTGCCAACGGTTGTTTGAAGTAGGACAGGAGGTCCATGGGGCTGGCCAGGCCACTGCGGAGGCGCTCCCTGACGCTGCAGGAAGAGAGCAAGAGCTGGAGAAAGGAAGCAGAGCCCCCCAGAAGAGCCCTCCAGCAGAGCCCCAGCCCAGTGGTGGACAGCCAGGGCCGTGTGAACGGACAGGACGGATGGAAGGGAGGCTCTCTACCAACATGGCACTGCCCCAGGGTGGCCGGGGGCAGGGTGATGGCTGACATGACTGTGGCTGAAACCCACCCACCTCATCGACCCTTCCAGACCCACCTCCTCTGAGTCTGATTGTAGGCAGTATCCACCAGCAACTTGGCCTCCGTTATGCAGTCCCGAAGGACCGAGGTCTCCACTGTCATGGGGGAGGCTGTTCAGAGGGAAGGGGACTCAGTGTCCAGGGGAGCCACGGGCTCCCCCAGACCCAGACACCGCCCCCTCCATTGCCCTCCTCCTCGGCTGTCCAAAGGGATATTACCTGGGCCGGTGCCCTCACATGGCGGGGCCAGGATGAGTGTGGCTAGGACCCCAGCCAGGGCCAGGAACAGCTTCATCTCTGCAGTGAGGCCCCTGGCCGCAGTGGGGCAAGGGATCGACACCCACATCCTGCACACAGGTGGGCCCCCTGCACCCCTCTCACCTGGAGGTCCCCAAGCTGACCTCTCACCTCCTCTTTTCTGTAAGTAGCTGGGAGGAGACTTTTATATCCTTTCCGAGGGTGAGGGAGGGGAAGTCCAGCCTCCTGAGGTGGGGCCCTGGAACTTCCCTCTCATTTTCAGGGGAGTCATGAGACTGAAGCATCCCACCCCCCACCCTCTTCGCTACTGAGTTCATGGATGTATTTCCCCCGAGGCTCAGGGCAGTGCCTGGAACACAGGTATTGCTCAGTGAGTATTTGCTGGAAGATTGAGGAACAGTGTGCCTCAGAAGACGGGGCCTGGTCCTGCCACTAACTAGCTGTATGGTCTTGGGCAAGGCACTTTCTCTCTCCAGGCCTCAGTTCCCACATCCCTAAAATGGGACTTGGACCAGACGGTTGGAAAGGCTCCTCTCCTCCCACTAACTGGGCAGAAACTGGGTCTGCCTTACTCTTCTATCTCCCCAGACACCTCAGCTCAAGGCCAGGTGTTCAGTAGGTGCTCAATAAATGTTTATTGAGTGCACGAATGATGTCAGGTCAGTGATTTGGCCTCTCCCCCTTGCTCCCTTTCTTTGCCAGCTCTCTCCAAGATGCGGGAGAGGACGAGGCGATGGCTGAAGCAGGGCTGAGCCGGGAAAATGAAGGGGCTGCATCAGGGGGCCACTGGGGATCCAGTGAGATGTCACAGGGAAAGCGCCCGCAGAGCGATGGGCCTGTGGGCCTTGGCTCCGCCCCATCCTATCCCACCCGCAGAGCAGGTGCCGGCTCACCCCACCCCGTCCCATCCCACCCCCGGCGCCCCACAGCCTGCCTGTCCTTGCTCCAGCTCCGGGGCCATCCCTCCCTCAGTGCCCAGCGCACCCGCTCTGAGCCCCCGTGTCCCCCGCCCTCCGCAGCCCCCGCTTCCCACCCCAGCGCCCCCCCCCCCCGCGGCAGCCGTTGCCCTTGGGACACCCCTTCAGCAATGTCTTTCACAAGCTCCAGTTGAGGGCCTGGGCCCTACTGATCTTATCTCCCTTTCTTCAGCAGGTGCCCCTCTGCTGTGACAAGGCAGCCTAGAAGGAAAGCCACTGTGTCTGGCTAAGAGCGCTCGGAGTGCCTGTTGCTGACCCCCTGCATGGCCTGGGGTAAAGCACACTGCTCCTTGGGCCTCAGCTTCCTTGCCTGTGAGAGGGGACAGTGAGCCTCGGGAAGGAGAGATGCTGAAGATCGGAGAGTGCTCCTCAAATGCGCCTCACCGCCCCCCACCCGCAGGGGGTCAGCAGCCGCAGGAGACTGGCAGCCAGGGTGGGCGGAGGTAGCCCAGGTTGCCCTGTCTCCAGGATCCCCCCTAAAGAGGACTTGGAGTGAGTTCCGCTCTCCCCCCAGAGAGGACTCTAATTCTTGAGCAGTTGTGAGTTGTCCCAGGGTCTGCCATAGCCGTGGGCTGCCGTGGGTTCCTGGAGAAGCTCAGGACAGAACCTGCACTCTAGACCCAGCCCTGCCATGTTGGCGGGTCTCTGGGGGATTTGGCCCATTGACTGCTGGGGGTGGTGATGAGACGCAAGCAGATGGGAGGGGACCACCGAGGGGCCCTGTACAAGCAGTCGGTAGAGGGCAGGTTCCCAGGGGGCACGGCCAGGGCTGGGCTGGCAGGCAGACGTTCAGACAAGGAGACCAAAGGTAGTCTACTCTGGGGTTCTCCTGCCCCTTCGGCTTGCTTCCTGCCACCCTCCGGCAGGACCCTGCCTCTAAGCTCCAGGCAACCAACCCTCCATGGACGACTGCCCCCACACCCCTGCCCTCTGCTTCCAGGCCTCTCTGACTCTGCAGGGAGGCTCCCTCTGAGGACCACAGCACTGCGCACTTAGGAGCTCACTGACCATCATGCACTTGGACCAGCTGCTCAACCCCCGAGCCGGCTTCTTCACTGTCAAATGGAGGTCATTGCTATGTCTACCCTATAGGAATCTGTATAAAATGCCACCACAGTGCCTGGCACTCAGCAGGTGCTCAGTATTGCTGAGTAGGCCTTGTTGTTCGGCCTCCACGTCGCTTCCTTTATCAAGCTCACTCCAGGCTGTCCCACAAGGGGAGTGACTACCCTTAGGGTGAAGGCAGGAGGCAGTGAATATAAGGGCGTTGTGGCCCATCCAGGCCAGGGCACCTGGAAGGAAGGGAAGAGAGGGAGGGAGGGAGGGTGGCGGGCCTCAGGTTTGTTCAGATGCTGGCTCTCTGGGCCCTCCTCCTCCTGTCAGTCGGCATTCCAGCTGCCAGGGCTGGAGCCACGGGAAACCCAGGGGACTGACAGTGATGGAGGGAGAAGCCCTCCAGGGGGTCCCCACCTTGGGGACCTGCACCCTTCTCCTGCTGTGACCTTCACTGGGAAGCAGGCTGGGCCCCGTGGGGTCCTTGCCAGGTCACACAGTGGTTTGCTTTGACGTGTGCTGTTTTCTGCGGTCAGGGCGGAACACACCCGGAGACCAGAAGAGGGCTATGGGCTGGGGCCAGGAGCCTCGCATATTCCCCTCAGGGGCTTTCACGATGCCCACCAGGACCTCACGGGAGGGATTTTAGATTCTCCTTGGGGCTAAGTGTTGCCCAGGGGCAACCTAGAGTATCTGATACTGGGAGCAGACGGTTTTTTGATAGCCTCCCCTTTACATAACAAAATTATTTCCAGTAATACTCATTCAATGAAACAAGTGATGATAATGGTCAGAAAAGAAATGTGTGGATGTTCTTGTATTAAACTTTGTACGTGGAATCATACCAGTAAAGAAATAAAAATAAAATATTAAAATATAAAAAAGGAAAAGAGTATTGGATTAACACTTTTTAATTATGTGACTGTGTTTTAAATAAAGGGGAAAAACTACCCACAGATTGGTGGTTTTAATATAATAGTTAATATATTATTACAGATTGTTTTCTCGATTTGTTTTTTAGTTTTAAAATAAACAACTTGAAATTTTAAAACAAGAATCAATTTCAACGGTAAAGATATTCACATTCAGTAAACTATTCATGTATGAAGTAAAATTCGCACTTTAAAATCATTGTACTTTGCAGTTTACACTGCTTCACTGTTTCAAATTTTAAACACAAATTATAACTCCAGATGGTCACAGAAAATGACAGAATTAAAGGAACTCAAGTTCTGCCTCTTTATCTTTGCAATCACCGTGTTCTCACTGTTGTATCAAACCCACTATTTAAAAGCAAGAATATGCAGCGCAAGCGGGCGGGATGGAAGGCGCCAAGTGCAGCCAAAGTAACACCATGACTCTGAACCGCCCAGATGAATGCACGCATGCAGCCCAGGGAACCACGCAGAGCGAGAATTCTCCCGCATGACTTCCAGGGAGAATACAGTGCGATTAAAGGATAAGTAATAAGGATGCATTCATTTGAAGCTTACGCATATTATTATTAAAGCAACAGTAATTGCAGCAATTGTTTAGAATCGAGACCGACAGAAGACGTCTTTAGGGCGCAGTGTTTATCACTGACACTGCCTAGCATCGCCTAAGTGGGGCGATCATTAGGAGCAGTCCGACCCTTTGTGTTATTAGGACTCTTACATTTCTTACAGACAGTGCACCCCTTCTTTTCTGCATGGAGGTGACCACGTCCTCTGTCCTGTCCTTGGTACTGGTGCTTTGCCCCTTCCACTTGTCCTTGATAAAAGACAAGTCAGGAGGCTTTCAAGTCCCTCCTCACACACTCCAACTTCGGGTGCCTGGGAGAGGGCGAAGGGGGAGCAGGGGCTCTGAGCACCTGGAGCTGGGGATAGAGCTACTTATGGGCTTCCAGGCCCCGCAGGACCTCTCCAGCCTCCACTCACCCCTCCCCACCTGCTCACCACACCCCAGCCTTGATTTCCCTGATGCTTTCTGGAAGCACTATGTTCTCCCTCACCTCCAGGTCCTTGTAATGTTCCCTTTGCCCAACGAACTTCTACTCAACTGCACAACCCATCTGAGAAAATCACCCCCTCCAGGAAGTTTTCCTTCATCCCTTTCCTGTTCACCCCCCAACACAGTCTGACTTATATCAGCAGATGCTTTTCTTAGCACATAACAGGCTGTACGGAAGGCACACTGTCACCATGTCCATCTCCTGGGCTGGGCCCTGAGTTCTTTGGGGACCCCAGGCCTGATCTTGTTTACAGCTGTGTATCTAGCACCTTGCACTGGCCAGGCCCACGGCCAGTGCTCAGAAATGTTTGTGGAACATGAGTGAACCGTGCTGTGTCCCGGCTTAACTCCATGAGTCTGCATACCCTCTTCCACCCTGGGAAGGAGGACATGTCCCTCCCTCCCCACCCCATTGGGATCCCTTCTTCCTTCTCCAGGTGGCAGTCTGGCACTCCCAGGATCCTGACCCTGATAGGCTGGGTAGGCAGGGTGCGGCAGGGGTTGGGGAACCACCATGGTGATGATGTAGAGCCTTGAGGTGGGCACTGGGTGGGCCCCATGACTATCCCCAGTGTAAGGCTGAGAGGCCAGGAGCCTGCGCTGGGGGCAGTTGGAGTGGATACTGACTGAGGGATGTGAAGACGACAGTCAGCTGAGCATGGGGGTCACTTGCCAAGGACATCAGAGTGGGATGCCCCCCCAGGGTTGGGTGTTTGGGAAGCTTGGCTCCCTGCGTGGGTGACTTCTTCCCTCCATATGTGGAGTCCAGAACTCGCTGCTGGGGATGCGCCAGGCTCTTTCCAGGCTGTGGTCCGCTCGGACCTCAGAGGCTGGGGAGCCGTGCAGGAGAGCTCTTCTCTGAAAGGGAAATGGGCAAAATGAGAGTCCAAGACTGAGCCACACAGGAGGGAAGGATTTGTTTGAGACCCACCAAAAAGACAGCCTGGGGTGACGGGAGGAGATGAGGCTGGAGGAGACTGGGAATAAGGGGGCCAGAGCAAGGGTAGAGGTATCCTGTGGGTCAGCCCCTCAACTGCTCTCCCTCCCCCCTGGTGGCCATGGGAGTATGAGGCCTGGGGGGACTTGGCACCACTGGTCAGAAGCATTCTGTCCCCTCTGCAGACTCGTCTTAGCCCTCCATACAGCCTCTCCTAAGGAAAGGAGCCCCTGGGCTCACAGCGTCAGGTTCCTGCCCCCTTTCCCCCGCCTCCTAGAGCCCCATCTCCTCTCTCTATTCCTTGCCCTCTAAACCCACTGGCTTTCAGCTCCTACAACAGGCCTGTGTCCACCTACTGTGCGTTT